CAGATTACAGGCATGTGCCACAAAGCCTGGCTATTTTTTTCTCATTTAGGAGAGATGGGGCTTCACCATGTTAGCCAGGCTGGTGGCAATCTCCTGACCTCAGGTGATCTAATCACCTCGGCCTCCAAAAGTGCTGGGATTACAATCCCAGCCTAATTTTTTTCGGTGGGGGCACAGAATCTCACTCTGTTGCCCTGGCCAGAGCGCTGGGGCCCAATCTTGGCTCACTGCAACCTCTACCTACTGGGTTCAAGTGATTCTCCTGCCTCAGCCTCCAGAGTAGCTGGGATTACAGGCACATACCATCACGTCCAGCTAATTTTTGTACTTTTTTTTTTTTTTTTTTTTTTGAGACGGAGTTTCGCTCTTGTTACCCAGGCTGGAGTGCAATGGCGCTATCTCGGCTCACCACAACCTCCGCCTCCTGGGTTCAGGCAATTCTCCTGCCTCAGCCTCCTGAGTAGCTGGGATTACAGGCACGTGCCACCATGCCTAGCTAATTTTTTGTAGTTTTAGTAGAGATGGGGTTTCACCATGTTGACCAGGATGGTCTTGATCTCTTGACCTCAAGATCCACCCGCCTTGGCCTCCCAAAGTGCTGGGATTACAGGCGTGAGCCACCGCGCCCGGCCATTTTTTTACTTTTTAATAGAGAACGGGTTTGGCCTTGTTAGCCAGGGTGGTCTCGAACTCCTGGCCTTAAGTGATCTGCCTACCTCAGCCTCCCAAAGTGCTGGGATTACAGGCATGAGCCACTGTGCCTGGCCAAAAATAAATTTTAAAAAGTAAAACAGGGCCAGGCACGATGGCTCATGCCTGTAACCCCAGCACTTTGGGAGGCCAAGGCAGGCAGATCACTTGAGGTAAGGGGTTCGGAATCAGCCTGACCAACATGGTGAAACCCTGTCTCTACTAAAAATACAAAAATTAGCCAGGCGTGGTGGTGGGTTCCTGTAATCCCAGCTACTTGGAAGGCTGAGGCAGGAGAATGGCTTGAACACAGGAGGCGGAGGTTGTAGTGAGCCGAGATCACACCACTGCACTCCAGCCTGGGCAACAGAGCGAGACTGTCTCAAGAAAAAAAAATTTTTTTTTAAAGACTAGGAGTGGTGGCTCACGCCTGTAATCCCAGCACTTTGGGAGGCTGAGGCGCGAGGATCACCCGAGGTCAAGAGTTTGAGACCAGCCTGACCAACTCAGAGAAACCCCGTCTTTACTAAAAATTCCACATTAGCCGAGCGTGGTAGCACATGCCTATAATCCCAGCTACTTGGGAGGCTAAGGCAGAATCGTTTGAACCCAGGAGGTAGGGGTTGCAGTGAGCAGAGATTGCACCATTGCACTCCAGCCTGGGCAACAAGAGTGAAACTCTGCCTCAAAAAAAAGTGAAGAGAATAGGGGAACAGAAGACTAGATGGCCTTCAAACATCAAAAGTTTTTAACCTCTGAAATATTTAGTAATTTATTATTTAAGCAAAATACTGGAATCAAGAGGACTGGCCTTGGCATAAAAACCCTATTGCTGTGGTGTATGACTTCACTTAATGATTTTTTTTTTTTTTTTTTTTTTCCAGACAGAGTCTCACTCTGTCACCAAGGCTGGAGTGCAGTGGCATGATCTCGGCTCACTGTAATCTCTGCCTCCCAGATGCAAGCAATTCTCTGCCTCAGCATCCCAAGTAGCTGGGATTATAGGCGCCCACCACCATGCCCTGCGAATTTTTGTACTTTTAGTAGAGACAGGGTTTCACCATCCTGGTCAAGCTGATCTCAAACTCCTGACTTCATGATCCACCCACCTCGGCCTCCCAAAGTGTTGGGATTATTGGCGTGAGACACGGTGCCTGGCCAATCACTGGTTTTTCTACCTGGCTGTTTCCTTTCCTCTCTGGCTTCTAAATGTATCTAAATGAGAATTACATGTATGGGCCGGGCGTAGTGGCTCACACCTGTAATCCTAGCACTTTGGGAGGCCGAGGTGGGTGGATCACCTGAGGTCAGGAGTTCAAGACCAGCCTGGCCATCATGGTGAAACCCTACCTTTAAAAAAAAATAAATAAAAAATAAATGAGCTCATATTTCCCAGGCTAAATAAATAAACTTAAAAGAAAAAACAGAAATGCAAGATTTTTTCCAGTTTGAAATTAATGATAGGATTGGTTAGTTGAGGCTCCAGGTGGTTTTGACTTATCAAAAAGGCAGTATAGGCTACATGTGGGGGCCCACATCTGTAATCCCAGAACTTTGAGAAGCCAACATGGGAGGATTGTTTGAGACCAGGAGTTCGAGACCAGCCTGGGTAACACAGAAAGATCTTGTCTCTAACAACAACAATAAAAGGTAGTATAGTATACAGTACAGTGGTCAAGAATATGAACTATGGTGGCAGTATCTGGGTTTAAATATCAACTGTGCAACTTTTTAGCTGTATTGAGCAAGTTACATATACTCTTTATGTCTCAATTTTCTCATCTGAAAAACTGAAGTTAATAATGAAGTACACGGTGGGCTCAGTGGCTCATACATATATTTCTTTTTTTTTTTTTTAAGACGGGATTTCACCATGTTGGTCAGGCTGGTCTTGAACTCCTGACCTCAGGTGATCCACCCACCTTGGCCTCCAAAGTGCTTGGATTACAGGCGTCAGCCACTATGCCCGGCCCATACATATAATTCTAACAGTTTGGCAGGCTGAGTAGGAGGATCACATGAGCCTAGGAGTTTCAGACCCATCTGGGCAACATAGTGAGATCTCGTCACCATATATATATATATATATACATATATATATATTTTTTTAATATTCAGAAAACAGACTATTACAGTAAAATAAAAAAATAAAATAAAATAAATTCTTCCCTCTGTCCCCGATCTCGTCACCATGAAAAAAAAAATAAAAAAATTAGCCAGGCTTGGTGGCATGCACCTGTGGTCTCAGCTACTTGGGAGGTAGAGATGGAGGATTGCTTGAGCCCAGGAGGTTGAAGCAGTAGATGCGATGGCACCACTGCATTCAAGCATGGGTGACAAAGCAAAACCCTGTCTCAAGGAAAAAAAAAAAAAAATCAACAGTACCGCTCAATAGCACACGTATAGTCCCAGCTTCTATGGGGTCTGAGGTGATGAAATGACTTGAGCCTAGGAATGAAAGACTGCAGTGCCTTATGATCAGGACTGTGGCTAGCCACCATTCTCCAGCCTGGACAATAAAGCAAGACCCCATCTCTCAAGAAATGCCAGTGTTTCATCCATCCTGCTACTAACCCAGCACACATATCCATGTGTTGTTGGCACAATATAAGTATTCTTATGACTTCAGAGATTAGCAAAAGAATGGTGGATTGAAAAAAATAATGGTAGCAGCAAGTTGTCAGCAGGAGGCTGATGAGAGGTACTGTACAAAATCCAAATCAAGAGGGCTGGGTGCAATCTTTGGTCAGTTTCCACATCTGTAATTAGGAGCTGAACCAGGCAAATTCTTTTTTTGAGATGGAGTCTCATTCTGTCGCACAGGCTGGAATGCAGTGGCAAAATCTTGGCTCACTGCAACCTCTGCCTCCCAGGTTCAAGTGATTCTCCTGCCTCAGCCTCTGGAGTAGCTGGGACTATAGGTGCTCGCCACCACGCCCAGCTAATTTCGGTATTTTTAGTAGAGATGGAGTTTCACCATGTAGGTCAGACTGGTTTTGAATTCCTGACCTCATGATCCGCCTGTCTCAGCCTCCCAAAGTGCTGGGATTACAGGCCTGAACCAACACACTTGGCTGGACCAAGCAAATTCTAAAGTCCCTTTCAGCATTAAAAATGAGTGTAAGAAGAAAAGAAAAAAAAAAAAAAGTGTAAGATTTTCTTTTTCTTTTTTTTTTTTTTTTTTGCCCTCTTTACCCTCCCTGTCTGACACAGAGATTTTTTTGTAGTGATGAGATCTATGTATAAGTCTATACATAGAGATTTCAAAGTCTGTCTGCCTCCAACACACCTGTTTCACAGTGCAGCCTGTAAATGTTGCTGATGTAGTGCCTACAAAATATTTTGGGGCTTTCCATAAAGAACTCCAATCAAAAGTAATATGTCTAGCCAGGTGTGGTGGCAGGGGCCTGTAATCCCAGCTACTTGGGAGGCTGAGGTAGGAGAATCACTTGAACTTGGGAGGCAGAGGTTTCGGTGAGCTGAGATCTTGCCATTGCACTCCAGCTTAGGCAACAAGAGCAAAAAATAATAATAAAAAAAAAAAAGTAATATGTCTTGGCCAGGTGTCATGGTTCATGCCTATAATCCCAGCCCCTGCACTTCAGGAGGCAGAGGCAGAAGGATCGCTTGACAACAGGAGTTCAAGACCAGCCTGGGCAATGTAGTGAGACTCCATTCCTAACAGTTTTTATTTTTTTTTTTTTCTTTATTTTCCTAATAAAGCATATTTATTTATTTTTATTTTTATTTTTTTGGAGATGAAGTCTCTCTCATCGCTCAGGCTGTAGTGCAGTGGCGTGATCTCGGGTCACTGCAACCTCCACCTCCTGGGTTCAAGGGATTCTCCTGCCTCAGCCTCCAAGAAGCTGGGAAGACAGGTGTCTACCACATCCAGCTAATTTTTGTATTTTATTTTAATGTTTTATTTATTTTTAATTATTATTTATTTTTATTTTTATTTTTTTGAGACGGAGTCTCACTCTGGAGTGCAGTGGCATAGTCTTGGCTCACTGCAACCTCCACCTCCGAGGTTCAGGTGAGTCTCCTGCCTCAGCCTCTGGAGTAGCTGCAACTACAGACACGTGCTACCACATCTGGCTAATTTTTTGTATTTTTAGTAGAGACAGGGTTTCACCATGTTAGGCAGGATGGTCTCAATCTCCTAACCTTGTGATTTGCCCATCTTGGCCCCCCAAAGTGCTGGGATTACAGAAGTGAGCCACAGCGCCTGGCCTAATCTTTTATTTTTTAACACAGAGTCTTGCTCTGCTGCCCAGGCTGGAGTGCAGTGGTGTGATCTCAGCTCACTGCAACCTCCACCTCCTGGGTTCAAAAAGCGCTGCCGGCGCAAGGAAACCTACTCCATGTATATCTACAAGGTGCTGAAGCAGGTGCACCCCGACATCGGCATCTCTGCCAAGGCCATGAGCATCATGAACTCCTTTGTGAATGATGTGTTTGAACGGCTGGCGGGTGAGGCTGCCCGGCTGGCCCAGTACTCAGGCCGGACCACCCTGACTTCCCAGGAAGTCCAGACGGCCGTGCGTCTGCTGCTGCCTGGAGAGCTGGCCAAGCACGCTGTGTCCGAGGGCACCAAGGCTGTCACCAAGTACACCAGCTCCAAGTGACCCAGGGCCTGACAAAAATAAAGGGTGAACTGTTAAAAAAAAAACAAAAAAAAAAAAAAAAAAAAAAAAAAAACGGTTCTCCTGCCAGAGCCTTCTGAGTAGCTGGAATTAAAGGTGCCCGCCACTGTACCCAGCTGATTTTTGTATTTTTAGCATAGACAGGGTTTCACAACGTTGGCCAGGGTGTTCTCAAGCTACTGATCTCAAGTGATCTGCCTGCCTCATCCTCCCCAAGTGCTGGGATTACAGGCGTGAGCCACCACACCCAGCCTCCATTTCTATTTTTTTTAAAAAGGTAATTCATTGGCTGGGCACGGTGGCTCACGTTTGTAATCCCAGCACTTTGGGTGGCTGAGGCCGGTGGATCACGGGGTCACGAGTTTGAGACCAGCCTGACCAACATGGTGAAACCCCATTTCTACTAAAAATACAAAAATTAGCCAGGCATGGTGATGCGTGCCTGT